CTACAGGTGGCAGCATCATTATCTATTCCACAACGCTGGTCCCTCCAGCGTGCTTTCCAATTGTGATTCTCCTAATAATCTTTCTCATACTTAACACGCAGACCTTGGCGCTGCAAGATCTACCCTGTGCTCAGAGTAGTTAATAGCATCCAGCACTGAGCTGTCAAACTTACCAGAAGCCACCTTCCATCAGCTTCCCACTTCACAAATCAGTTGCAGTCTTCAGTCATGGTTACTCTATTTGCAACCACAAACATTCTAGCAAATGCAAGCTTCTTTATGTATTCTTACACTGTTCATTGCTCAGTCCTTTCCTCAATCATGCTGACAAACTTTCTTCCCTATTACCACTAGGCTTGGAATTTTATATCCATTCCACTTTGTAAATGAGTCTTCTTCCTTCACTCAATTCTAGCCTAACTACAAAACTTAAATCTTTTTTATTTTATTTTTATTGAAAAGTCACATAAATAGAGAAGAGGAGATTCAGAGAGAAAGATCTTCCATCTGTCGATTCACTCTCCCAAGTGGGCACAATGGCCGGAGTTGTGCAAATCCAAAAGCCAGGAACAAGGAGCTTCGTCCAAGTCTCCCGAGTGGGTGCAGAGTCCCAGGACTTTGGGCCATCCTCCACCACTTTCCCAGGCCACAAGCAGGGAGCTGGTTGGGAAGAGGGGCTGCCAGGATTAGAACTGGTGTCCATATGGGATCCCAGCATGTGCAGGGCGAGGACTTCAACCACTAGGCGACCATGCCAGTCCCCAGACTTAAATCTTAATTCAGTCCTAGCAATTCCACCCCAGCGCCATAGTGGACAGGCTAAGCCTCCACCTGTGGCATCACCTGGAGTGCTGGCTGCTCCAATGTAGCCTGGAAAAAGCAGCAGAGGGTGGCCCAAGACCTAGAAGAAGCTCCTGGTCCCAGTTTCAGACCAGCCTAACTCTGGATGCTGACATCTGGAAAGTGAACTACTGGATGGAAGATCTTTGTCTCTCTGTCTCTCCTCCTCTCTGGTAATTCTGCCTTTCAAACAATAAATCTAGGGCCCGGCGTGGTGGCGCAGTGGTTAAGGACCTCGCCTTGCACACCCGTGATCCCATATGGGCGCCAGTTCTATCCCGGTAGCCCTGCTTCCCTTCCAGCTCCCTGCCTGTGGCCTGGGAAAGTAGTCGAGGACGGCCCAAAGTTTTGGGACCCTGCACCCGCGTGGGAGACCCAGAAGAGGCTCCTGGCTTCCGACCAGCATAGTATTGGCCGTTGCGCTCACTTGGGGAGTGAATCATTGGACTGAAGATCTTCCTCTCTGTCTCTCCTCTCTGTACATCCGCCTTTCCAGTTTTTTTCTACTGTTTCTGAGAAGACAGCACCCACATTCCTGGGCCCCTGCCACACACTGGGGTGACCCAGCTGGAGTTCCTGGCTCATGGCTTCAACCTGACCCAGCCCGGGCTTTAACAGCCATTTGGGGAATAATTCAGTGGGTGGAAGGCTCCTCTCCCTGTCATTTACTTACTGTGTTGCTCTGCTTCTCAATTAATAAAGTTCCTTTAAAAACAACATTCCTCTTTCACTCCAGCGCAAGCATGTGCTTAGTGTAGCCACAGTGTTTAGAAACCTGAATCCCATGAGGTGTCTAGGTTTACCTCCAGGGAGGAAGGAGCTGGTAGCTCAAATATTTGGGCTGCCCTTGCTGCTTCAGCTCTGGTTGCTGAAACAATAAATATTCAAAAAACAGGTTTTACTTACAAGAAGAAACTAACCAGAGGAAAGCACCATGGCAGTAAACAACACTGCTTCACAGCTTCTCAACCATTCAGGAAGTGTTCATGAAAGGTTGTTTAAAAGTTCAACACTGGGGTCCGGCGTGGTGGTGCAAGTGGTTAAGGTCTTCGCCTTGCACGCCCAGGATCCCATATGGGTGCCGGTTCTAATCCCAGCAGCCCCGCTTCCCTTCCAGCTCCCTGCCTGTGGCCTGGGAAAGCAGTCGAGGACAGCCCAAAGCTTTGGGACCCTGCACCCGCGTGGGAGACCCAGAAGAGGCTCCTGGCCTCGGATCGGCATAGTATCGGCCCGTTGCGCTCACTTGGGGAGTGAATCATCGGACGGAAGATCTTCCTCTCTGTCTCTCCTCTCTGTATATCCTCCTTTCCAATGAAAAAATAATAAAAATAAATCTTTAAAAAAAATAAATAAAAGTTCAACACTGCCAACTGGAAAAGGCTGGACAATGGCAGCCCCAGGGCTTGCTCTACTGCCCTTCACTTTGAAGGTTAGGGGGTGGGTTGGGAGTACTCACAAAGCAAGCACATCTACTCTGCTGTGACAACAACTGACTTAGGTGGCCACTTGCCTGGGGACGTCCTGCCAAACCAGCCAGCACTGCAGCAAAGCTACAATGGACAGAGGGAGACCCAACTCCAAGCCTCAACAGTGTGGACTGCAGCCTCCACTTAGAACTGATCATGCTCCTGTGAGACTTAAACAAGAGGACACCACTTAACCCTGCCCAGCATCTTTTACAAGGGCCATATAAGGTCAGGGACTTTAAATCAGGGAATAAAATACATTCTTTGTACATTACATAAACCATGCTACACTTGACACGGGCAGGTGTACAGCTTAGGACACAACAGGGGAATCACATTCCTTCTAACCAAAGAGAAAAATGCTGGTGGCTGCCGATGTGACTGACCTTATACCAACTCATTTACACAAATTCTGGGATTTTGCGTTTAACATCTCGGTAAAGACCAGAAAATCCATCAATCCTCCACCAATGCCCTAAACAACCTAACCACATCAGGAGGTGATCTCAGACCTGACTTTTGTGTCTGCATGCCAGTACAGGGTCCAGCATAGTCCATCATCCCAACCAGCTTATGCACATGCTGGTGGTTGCAACTGCTGGGTCAGTTCTGTTTCCACCCCTGTCTCCACACAAGATCCAATGGGTGTTGCAGTCCAGTGTGATCCTGCCCAACACACATGTGGCATTTACACAGACTGATGGGAGCTGCAGCCTCGTCTGAATAATGCGTAATGACCCCTACCAGGCCTGGCCCCTGTCCTGGTTCCTGTGCTTGCCAGTATGTACAGTAGACTGGTCCAGTCTATGACACATCCCATTCAGCTGTCATACATGTCAATGGGCACTGAAGCCCAGTTGAACCCAACCAGCCCCACTATCCAGCCCACACACATTCTTGTGGGTGCCGTTCTGTCCAGCCACATCTACCACAGTCCTGGTTCTCATGCTCTCCAGTGGGAGAGGTAACCCAAGAGGGAGGTGCCCACTGTTTCCCTACTGGGCCCACTCTCACCCCTGGATCACACACTCTCCAGGAGTTTTGCAGTCTGACTTGACACAGTTAGCCCCTAGTGCCAGCCTCTGCCAGCTGATGCTGCAACAAAGCCCAACCAACACTCACCAACTCGGGTTTATGCTTGCACCAGTAGGAACGGTCAGCCCAGCCTGGCTTTTCCCTCATCTAGCTCACATGAAGCCGGCAGATTTGGTAGCCCTGCCTGGTCTGATCATGCTCTCCAGTGGGAGCAGTGGTCCAGCAGAGTAGCATTCCATATCCCCCTTACCAGCTTTGTCCCCTGCCCCCCATTTCTCATGTGTGCTAATTGAATGCTACAGCTCAGTGTGGCATGGCCCGCCTCACCTCAGCATTTGGAAGTAGGTGTTGTAGCCTGGCCCAGCCTGGCCCACCCCAATTCCAGTTCCCACTGGCAGGATTACAGCCTAGCCCAGTCCAGCCGGTACCCAGTCCTAGCCCTTATGCATAATGGTATGAGTTGCAACTGAACCCAGTTCCAACCACACTCTATTCCAGTGCTCTGATTCACCAGTGGGTAATGTGAACTGGTTCAGTCTTGTCTGCCCACAAACTATGCCTAATGTATGCTGGTGGGTACCTTTCCTTGCCTGCTCTGGGCTGTTCTCTATCATGGTTCTTGCCCTCACCTGCAGGAACTCTATTCTGACAGAGGAGTTTCCTAGGCTCCTCCATCAGAAGCCCTCCCAGTGCCAGATTTCACACACTTCAGTGGGTCCATGGGCCAGCCCTGCTTAGTCCACCTCCTGTCCTAGCATGAACAGTAGCCTTTCTTAACTGGTCTTCAACCCATTCTGGTTCTTACTGTTGGATGTTTTAGCCCAGTTAAGGCTCATCCTCACTCAGACACGACTCACACGTGGCTCATTAGGGGGCCTAGACGTAGCCGAGTCCATCCTACTCCTACTCTGGTCCTCCAGAGCACCAGTTGGTGCTGGAGTCTACCCTGGCTCAGTACAGCCAACCCCAGTCTACACTTGTGCCAAGGGACACTGCAGCCATATCCAAACCAGAACACAGGCCCCACTCCGGCTATGGCACACAACAATGGGAGCCTCAACCCAGCCTGGGTGACCTCTTAGCTTCCCAAACATGCCTGTTCCCAGCCATAGATTGTGCTCATGCAAGCAGTTGCTTTGACCCAGCTTGGCATAGCCTCTCACCTGTTTTGGCCTTTGTCTTAGATGCTGTAGCCTGGCATCCCTGGATCATGCAAACCAGTCGATGTAAGAGTCTAGCTTGGCAGCTTGGCATGACCTGTGCTCCAGAGTGAATTCTGTTCTTGCTGGTGAGCAAAGGCTTGCTCAGCACTGCCCAGTCCACCCCTTTCCATAACCAATCCACACATTAGCCACCAGTTGGAACTACTTTGCTAACATGCCCAACCCCATGTCTGGACCACGTGATCATCAGTGAGAGTTACCACCCACTAGGAGAGTTTCCCAGGTTCTCCCACTCAGCCCACTTCAGAATGCATAGAGCCTTCTCAATCAGGTTAGAAGGATTTTCACAATTTCTTCTCCAACTCATCTCAAAGAAAAGCTATTATCACTTAAATCTTCAAACATGACACAAATGGCCTCCCATTACCAGTCAACTATTCTCCAACAGTCAATGAAACCAAAACTCTCGGGGAGAATGGCTTATGGGCATTGATACCTGAGATTTGAGACATCTTGTTCTCTTCAGCCAATGATTCATCCTGGCACCAGCATCTGGGGAAGTTTGGGTATCAGTGAGAAGAATGTCAGGTTCCACTTTTTCCTCAAGATCTCAATTAGGCATCTGCACACCCTAAAAGACCAGAGCAAAGAAAATTTTCTGAGAAAAATCAGGTTTGGCAAACCGTGAGAACAACACATTCCCAATAAGCCTCCTAAAACTTCATGAAACCACATGACAATTCCACTACAAATTCATCTACAGATAAAAGGCCATCCCTATGAAAATTCAGAATTTTTTATTTGGTAGAAATTCAAACATCATTATGAAATTATGTGGAAATATGAATGGCTGGGAAACTTGGGGGGATTAAAAAAGGACTTCTACTACCAGATACCACAGTTATTTAAATCTACACTGTTCAAACTAGTGTTACTGAGATTTGTCATACACATATAGTAGAACCACAACACAGACACAGCAGGTATTCTAAGACCACTGATGGAGGTTAAAAATTGAGGAAAAGTACAGTTTTTTTTTTCTACAAAAGTTTGGTTTATATATTAGGTAGAGCATGAGAATAAAAATACTGAAATCAAATAATCACAATAGCACACTATGATAAGAGGTGAATGTAGTCATTAACCTAAACAAATCCTATTTTAATTCCACTTTTCCTATGAGAGAAAATACATTATGACTTCTCTTTAGCATATCCCAATTGCCAACATCATTGCTGTTGTATTTTGGGATCATTTTTGTAAAATATGAAAATATCTGAGGAGTAGGCTTGTTGCTATTGTTCAGTGGCAAATTCCCTCACTTTGCATGTGTCAGGAGTCCATGTGGACACTGGTTTGTGTCCCATTTGCTTCACTTCCCATCCAGCTCCCTGTTTGCAACTTGACAAAGCCTTTGGAACCTGCACCCATGTGGGAGACCTGGAAGAGGCTCCTGCTTCTGGGCTTTGGATCGGTTCAGCTGCAGCCACTGTGGCCACACAGGAAGTGAACCCAGAACAAAAGCCATTTCTCTGTGTCTCTACTACTCTGCCTCCAATAAATCAGTAAATAAATAAAAATCTAAAAAAAGAAGAAGGAAAGCATATCTGGTTACCAGCATTGGGATGCCATGAAAGCCAGTAAGATAATTAAGATGGATATTAAACAGGTGCAAAAGAATAAATTCCATTCCAGACAGGACGGAGGGCCACACAAGTGAGATTTCATCACACTTATCAGAATACCACACATCTAAAAAGTTACAAACTGCTTACTACTAGAATTTTCCATGCAATTTTAATGCAATTGGCTGTAGGTAATCAAAACCACAGAACAATGTATGAAACCATGGACTGACTTAGGATTGCAACAAAACAGTTCAGAAACAACACAGTACATTTATGCTCAACTGATTCTCAATACAGTTAGCCCAGCTAAATCAATTGAACAATACTGTTTTAAACAAATAGTGCTCATCAAAACTGAATATTCATATGCCCTCCATCCCAAATAACTAACCTGCCTATGTACCTGATATGTTATACACACACAAAAATAAACAGTTCAAGATGCACCATGAACCTAAACATAAAAGCCAATTCTTACAACCCCACTTGTGAGTCCCACATCCCACACACCAGTGCCTGAGTTCAAGTCCCAACACCAATCCTAACTCAGCTTCCTGCCTGGCAGACAACAGATGACTATGTAAGTATTCGATTCCCTCCCACCCACAAGAGAAATCTGAATTGACTTCCTGGCTTTACCCTGGCAGGAGTGAACCAGCAGATAGAAGCTTTATCCCTTCTCTCTTTCAAATAAAATGAAAATAAGGGAATAAATGAACTCAAAAAGAAATGCTCTGTAACAAAAGCTAAAACCACAGAACTTACACATGGAGAAAAAAAAAATGACTACAGCCATGGATAAGGAAAATACTTCCTAAATGATACGAAAACTAAAACCCATCAAAGGAAAACAGGAACCTGCAAACCACTCTTTAAGCAGATACTATCAAAAAACGAAACCATAAATTACACACAAGAATAAAGTTTTTCTAAATCAGGTGCCTGACTAAGGACTTGCATTTAGTATAACAAACTCTTACGAGTATATAAAGCCAACCCATCAAACACTGCACTGAGGAAGATGCACAAAAGGCTAATATGAACAGAAAACAATGTCAATTTTCAGTAGCCTTTAGGAAAATGCAAATGAAAACTACAAGGAAATACCAGTACACACCTAATAAAATGGCCAGAACCAAAGCAAGAGACAACACGTGTTTGCCAGGACATGGAAAAACCGGAAGCCTCTACATTATTGGGGGAATGTAAAATGGTTCGGCCACTTTGAAAAACATTCTGACAGTTTTAAAAACTAATATATATGTAATATAATACCTAGCAATTTCACTCTATTAAGAGAAATGAACACATATGTCCACATGAAACGTTATACCTAAACAGGCATATTATTATTGCTAACGGCCAAAAACTGCAACAATCCACTCTTCAACTAGTAAACAAGTAAAAAGGTACATAAATCCAATGGAGTATTTTCACCAATAAAAACAAATGAAGTGGGGCCCAGCACAGTAGTCTAGCAGTTAATCCTCAACTGGCATGCTCTGGGATGTCACATGGGCACCATTCAGTCCCTAGCTGCTCCAGCTTCCCACCCAGCTCCCTGCTTGTAGCCTGGCAAATCAGTCAAGAATGGCCCAAAGCCTTGGGACCCTACAGTCACGTGGGAGTCCCAGAAGAAGCTCCTGGCTCCTGGCTTTAGACTGCCTCAGCTCTGGACACTGCAGCCACTTGGGGAGTGAACCAGTGGATGTAAGATCTCTCTCTTTCTCTCTTGCTCTCTCTCAACTTCTTTTTCCAACATAAAATAATTTTAAAACATTCTCCCCCCAAAAAGTTTTATTTTTGTTGGAAAGGCAGATTTACAGACCCCTCAAGTGGCCACAACAGCCGCAGATGAGCTGCCAGAAAGCAGGAGTTCCTTCCTGGTCTCCCGTGGGTGCAGGGTCCCAAGGCTTTGAGCCATCCTCAAATGCTCTCCCAGGCCACAGGCAGGGAGCTGGATGGGAAGTGGAGAAGCCAGGATACAAACCACAGCCCAAATGGGATTATGGCACATGCGAGGTAGGGATTTTGGCCACTAGGCTACCACACCAGGCCCAATTTACGCACTTCTAAGAAAAATGCTGCAACTCACCATAATACTGACATCAGACTGGAACAGCTCATATGGGCAGAGAATTCTTTCATAGTGAGAATTCAAGCGACACCCAGTGCGCAGATATTCCAAGCAGATATCAACTTTAGTCCACTACTTTTCTTTGGTGGCCATTTCAAAACCTCCTTTGCTACCAACAATCTGAATTAAAAAAAAAAAAGTAAAAACTAGTATTTAAGTAGAGTCAAACATTCTCTGCTAACACATAAATTACTCTGGGCTTCAATTTTAGATTTCAACAAATAAATGACAACAGTGACAACTGTAATATTTACAGGCAAACAAAAATGGATAATGATTATTAAGGCTTCTTTGTGGCTTTTCTTGTTAAGATTTGTTTATTGGGCCCAGCATGGTGGCCTAGTGGCTAAAATCCTAGACTTGTATGAGCTGCTATACCATATGGGTGTATGTTCATATCCCATCAGCCCTGCTTCCCATCCAACTCCCTGAATGTGGCCTGGAAAAGCAGTCGAGGATGGCCCAAAGACTTGGGATCCTGTACCCGTGTGGGAAACCTGGAAGTGGCTCAGAGCCATGGGCTTTGGATCACGTAGCACCAGGCTTTGCAGTCACGTGGGAAGTGAACCATCAGGCAGAAGAAGTTCTCTGTCTCTCATCCTCTGTGCATATCTGACTTTGTAATAAAAATAAATAAATCTTGGGTTAAAAGATTTATTTATTTTTGGGCCAAGAGTGACAACCTAGTGGGTAAAGTGCTCGACTTCCATATGCCAGGATTCTATATGAGCACTGATTCATGCCCTGGCTGCTCCACATCCCATCCAGCTCCCTGCCTCTGGCCTGAGAAAGCAGTCAAAGACAGCCCAAACCCTTGTGAGAGACATGTAAGAATTTCCTAGCATCAGACTGGCTCAGTTCTGGCCACTTGTGGAGTGATCCAGCAGAGAGAATATCTTTCACTCCGTCTCTCCTTCCCTCTGTATATCTGACTTTCCAAAAGAGTAATTTAATTTATAAAAAAAAAAAAAAAAAACAAAAAAAAACTTTATTTCTTGGAAAAGCAGATCAGATTTACAGAGAAATAGAGGCAAAAAGATGTTCTTCCACTGAATCATTACCCAAATGGCCATAATGGCCACAGCTGAGGTGAGCCAGAAGTTTCTTCTCACTCTCCCACACGGGGATAAGGTCCCAAAGTTTGAGCCACCCTCTTCCTCTTTCTCAGACCGCAAGCGGGAACCTGTATGAGAAGTGGAGCCACCAGGACACACACTCAACCACAAGGTATCCTGGCACTTCTAGGTGAGCATTTAGTCATTGAGCCCTCGTGCCAGTCCCTCTCACGGAATTTTTCTTGTTTGTTTGTTTGTTAAGGCTTATTTATTTTTATTGCAAAGTCAGATTTACAGAGAGGAGAAGAGACAGAGAAGATCTTCCGTCCATTGATTCACTCTCCAAGAGACTGCCACGGCTAGAACTGAGCCAATTATCCAAAGCTAGCAGCCAGAAGCCTCCTCCGGGTCTCCCATGTGGGTGCAGGGTCCCAAAACTTTGGACTATCTTTACCTGCTTTCCCAGGCCATAAGCAGAGGGGATGGGAAGCAGGGCTAACAGGATTAGAACCAACACCCATGTGGAATCCTGGCACATTCAAGGCAAAGACTTTAGCCACTAGGCTACCATACTGAACCCTCTCTCAAAAGTTTTAAACTCTAAAGTTTAATTCACATTAGAGTGCCTACACTGAAACTAGACATTTAACAGATTTACTCTATGTGTACCTCTTGTCTGTTTTGAACACCAGACGAATTTCTGTCTCTAACTAAATTATTCATACTATACAAAATAAAAGGCAGCCGATGAGGTTCAGCTGCCAGTTTCCATTCACATGGAAACCCAGACTGAGTTCCTGACTCCTGGATGTGGCTGGGCCCTGCGCTAGGAACTGCAGACGTGTGGACAGTGATCAGTGGAAGGAGGTCTCCCTGTTGGATTCTCTGCCACTCAAATAAATTACAAAAGAGTCACAATGGGTTAACACAGCAACACTCTCAGCAGCAATCATGGAAACGAAGAAACAAACTTTCACATCATTTTACTGAACTGAAATGATTCATAATTTAATTTTTTAAATCTATACTCTTATTCAAAAGTGAAATGAGAAGAGCTCTTCCATCCATAGGAGCTTCACCCAGGTCTTCCATATAGACGACAAGGGCTCAAGAACCTGTGTCATCTTCTGGTGATTGTCCCAGGCCATCAGCAGGGGTTGGATGGAGTAGAACAGCCAGGACCTGAACAACGGGGTGGCGGCTGTGCAGGCAGCAGCTCTACTTATCACGAAACCAACTCAGTCTCACACCATTACAAAAGCTCTCCACAAAAGCAAGATTCTTTTTACTAAATATGCATGTATGTGTACATTTTAAAACTAAAAGCAACAAACATGGAAGAGACAGACACGTTTCTTCCATCCAGTGGTCCACTCCCCAGATGGCCACAATGGCCAGACTAAAGCCAGAAGCTGGAACTCCATCTGGGCCTCCGCATGGGTGCAGGGATCTAAGGAACTGGGCCATCTTCAACTTTTCCCCTCAGGTCATTCTCAGCTGGATGAAGGCAGAGCAGTCAGGACTCACACTGGCAACAAAAGCAGCAATTTCATCCACAACACCACACAGGCCTCAAGAAGCAAGTTTCTACTTCACTTCCCACTGACCTTCTTCCTCATTATACTAGAACATATGATCCATCAAAATCATAAGGAAAACAAAGACCTGCAACACAGGATGAAGCAAAAGGAAAGCCCCAGAGGTTCTAGGCTACTAGCTAACCTTAAAACAGCTGGTCTCGAGTGAGCAGCAAAGATAACTGAGGAAACAGCAACATGGCCATGTGGGATGTCGGCACTACAGAAGGTAGATTAGCGCACTGCGCCACAACAGTAGCCCTCACATACACTTTAACCAGAATATTACCAGAAACTCTTTTTACTACTTTTATCTAGAAAACCACTCATCCAGAAAATGAAAAAGAGAATGAAATTTTCAGGGAAAACAAATCACTGGAATAAGTGACTTAAACAAAAACTCAACCAAAGCATGATGATTTGGTGGCCAGCACCATGGCACAGTAGGCTAAGCTTCCACCTGTGCCGCTGGCATCCCAAACAGGTGCCAGCTGGTGTCCTGGCTGCTCCACCGCCCATCCAGCTCCTGGCTTGTGGCTGCAAAGGCAATAAAGGATGGATCACGTCCTTGGTCCCCTGCATTCATGCTGGAGACCCAGAAGGACTGGCTCAGCCCCAGCTATTATGGTCATTTGGCAAATTGGATGACGGATGGAGGATCTCTGTCTCTCCTTCTCTCTGTGCTACTCTTTCCAATAAAAATAAGTGAATCTTAAATATAGAGAGAGATCCAGGGCCTGGTACAATGGCTCATTGGCTAAATCCTCATCTTGCAAGCACTAGGATCCCATAGAGCTGAGAGTTTCAGGTTCCAGCTGCTATACTTGGCATCCAATTTCCTGCTTCTCTTTCCCTCCCTTTCTCTCCTTACAAGAGATTGGTAAGTTGCCGTAAAAGCAATTAAAAATACCAAGCATGAGCTTACTCAAAAGCAGAGAAACAAACTCATGGAAGCCCAAGAATGGGGACTGGGCCTCCTCAGGTGCTGAGGCCTGTGCAATGTTTGGAGAGTGTACCCCACTGCACAGTTCATCTGGGCCAGCTGGGGACATCAAGTGCCACATCAGGAAATGGAAAGCAGAACAGATCAGACCATTCTCCTGACCAAGCTTGCAGCAAGTACTCGGGTCTGTGGATGCACTAAGGTGGGCTTGAGCAGCCAGCGAAACTGGAAAAGATCTTCTCAACCATGAGGCAATAAAGCTAACAATGTGTCAGAACTGTCCAAATCACTCAAGCAACAGTCTGGGAATGTTCTTCCTCACATCGGGGTCTCTAAGGTGTCATCAAAGAGCCATCTCCTATCCCTGGGAGCTGATGCAGTTTGACAGCAAGGAGCGGTCCCCTCCCCTCCGACACCTCACTCCCATCAGTGGACAGATCAACAAAACAGAAAATCAGCCAAGAAACATCAGAGCTAATCTATACTGTGGACTAACAGAACTTCATTGCCATCTGAGAGAACTCATTCCACACCTCCAGAAAACATCCTTTTCATCAGTACGTGGAATTTTTTCAGCATGCTTCACTGCTAAGATATAAAGCAAAAGTCTCAATAAATTTTTAAAAAATGAAACCATATCATTTCTCTTTTCTGATCACAATCTAATTCAGTGAGAAATTAACAACCTACAAATATCTGAAAGATATGTAAACTCACAAATGACTTAACAATTTGCTCCTAAGCAAAGAGCCACAGAAGAAATCAAGGAGAATCAAAAGCTTCCTGTAAACAAATGGAGATAGCACAATGCATCAGAATTGAAGGGACACAACAACAGCAGTGCTAACAGGGACTTTTATGGCAGCCAGCGCTTACACTAAGAAACTGAACGGTATCAGATAAATGGCATCAAGATAAAAGATAAACAACAAGAACCACAAAATTAGTAGGAGGAATGAAATTAGAGAATAAACAAAATAGAAAAACGATAAAAGATCAATGAAGAATAGATTTATTGAAAAATAAGTAACACTGATACACCACTAACTAAAATAAGAAAAAAAGGAAAGAGAGAGAGAGAGAAAGAAAGGAAAAAATGAAGGACGGCCCCAAGGACATAAGTGGAGCAGGCCTTGCAGGACAGTGTGAACCCGAGGCACCTGTGCCCACTCTACCCAGAGACGACACTGAGTGCCAGGCCCCAGCTTCCCTCTCATCTCTGCACCAAAGACTCCAGCCCTCCCAGAAAACAACACACAAAGTGCAAAGCCGCAGCCTGCCCTCATGGCCCCCATGCTGATGGTGAAGCCACCACCTGCACTTCCCCACCCAGGACAGAGGACTAAACTGCCACCTGCGCTTCTGGAACCCATGCCGAGGGCCAAGAAACCTCATGCCTTTCATGGACCATGCCAATGACCAAGCTGCCACCAGCCCTCCTAGACAATGCACAAAGGGCCAAGATACTGCCTGCCTTCCAGGAACACTCACCAAGGACCAAGCCACCACCTGCCTCCTGGACCCTGCACTTAGGGACAAGCCACCACCTGGCCTCCTAGACCCCATGCAGATTGCCAAGCTGCAACCTCGCCTCCTGGAACCCTCACTGATTACTAAGCCACGGCCCGTCCTCCTAAGCCCCACAGGAAGGCAAGCAGCCACCTCCACTCCTGCACCATTGTGATTGAGATGGCCAAACTACCCATGCTCTTGGGGACAAGCTGCCACCTGCACTCCCACACAGGTGCTAAGGCCAAGCTGCCACCTCCCCTTCCTGGACCCCTGGACCTTGGGGGTCTTACCTTGTAGGTGTCCTTGTTTTCAGTAACAGGTCAGATGGTGCTGATGAAGCCCAGTGGGTCTATGAAGTCCTCCAGCGAGGCTCAAAGACCAGGCACTCTGGGAGCGGCACCAACTTGCACACAGCCGGCCCCATGTCCACCATGGCGGCCACTGAGAGACCCTCCCCAGGTGGGGGGCAGGTGGACAGCAGGCAGGATGATTTTCAGCTGGAGTCCATGAGCCCTTACGTCCTCTCCCGGAGCCGCAACCCGCAGAGCATCTCTTGCAAGAGAACAGTTCTCTGGAGAACCCAGTGACTTGTCCTCTTTCTCCACTGGCTCTTCACTGACTGAGGGTGCAGGGCCGCAGCATCTCACAGGAAGTGACCATGCGGCCAATCCCTCCGCGTCAGCACCACGCAGGATTCCTCCGCTGGACGCCCCACCTTTGGGGACCCTTTTCTTCCTCCTCCTGGACACCAGGGCGCCCTGCTGTGCTTCCTCTCCTCACCCTGGGAAGTTCTGTGTGGCCGGAAGGGGCTGTGGGGCTCCTTGTTGCACTGGGCTCTGGAGGCCCACTTACAGACATGCAATTTTAGGTTTTCATTGCTGTACAAATAAAATGTGTTCTATCAGTTTTGACATATTTCATATCAGTTTTGAAAAACTGTACACTACATTTGCTTTTTAAAAAACTTCTTCCATGTCTCTTATTGTTTTGTTTATTCATTCAACAAAAATCTTTCAGAATTTTTCTTCGGATCGAGAACCCTATGTGGCAGCCAAAGCACAGACGCTTTGAAAATAATTAATTTTTAAGGAGTTCAGGTGAAAGCCTAATTTTTTAAATGGATGAACTATTAAAAATGAAATAGAGTTATTGCCATGTTGGTGCAAGGAGATTAGATGATCATGTGAAAATTACCTGAAAATGAGTTGAACAGTTATGCTATCTTGTGAATTATTTCAACATGTTTAAAAGTAAATTCTAGTTTTTAAATTTATTGTAAATGGAGAGGCAGAGAAGGAGAGAAAGAGAGACTGAGCGTGAGCCAAATTCTAAATAACATTCCAAATACCTACACTACCACAGGCTATATCAGTCAAACACCAGGAGCCAGGAGCTCAAGTCCATTTTCCCATGTGGGTGGCATTGAATAGGCTATGTGAGCTATAACCTGTAGGCTTCTGTGTTGAGCATTATCAGAAAGCCAGGTTTGGGAATAGAGCCAGGCACTCCACCATGACATGGAGGTGTCCAAGGCAGTATCTTCACCATTTGACTAATGTCTACCTCCCTGAAAGAATTACTATCATGCGAAGAAATGGTAGGTCCCAATTAAAACCAAAAGAGATTCCTTGAGAATTTAGAGTGAGAGGAAGAAGCAGTAAGTAGTGAATGGATTTTGACAAAAGAACCAGCAAAGACTTGAAAATGGTTTTGGGAAGATGGGAGAAATTAAGGTTGATGACAACAGCTGTCCAAACTAGCATCATTACAGAAATAATTAAGAGGAAATAGTTGGAAATATTTAATATGTAGAAATGCATGGATATATGCATTGGTGCATGAAAGCAAGGGAAAAATTAAAAGCATTATTATTTCATATCAGGTTACACACTATGGTGCAGAAATTCATTATAGTTCATAGAAAAAAACGAGAATCTGTTTTGATTATTGTGTCAGGGGGGTGTTAGCAATGGTGAAGTTTGACATTCTGGCGGCATAATAGTGGAGACTATGATAGGATTAAATGGGGACCAAGAGAGCAGTCTAGATTCCAGATATGGATTGTGGAGTCATCAACTGCTATCACAACTAAATTTGAAAAATAATAGAGGGAGCAGATGCTAAGTCAAAAAAAAATCCTTATCAAAGAAATGATCATCTGGAGGAGAAAAATGTTCTTTAGAATAGGTGAGCTCTTAGTTGACAGTGAAAAAAAATTGTTTTGAATAGAAAATTACGGAGGATAACACAACAATATTGCATTATGAAGAACAGGCTTAAAAACACTCAATGCTTTCAAGTGCTATGTAAAATCAAATAACACAGTGGCCAAAGATTTGCCCGTCAATATGGAATGTGAGAGGAAAGTAACTGTGTCTCCTGGAGTAGATTCAGTGGAGTCATGCACATAGTCAAAGGCAATTTATACTACATAGAACTGGGCCCGGATGATAGAGTAATGATTAAGGTCCCCACCTTGAACCCATTGGGATCTCATATGGCTGCCAGTTCTAATCCCAGCAGCTTTGCTTCCCATCCAGCTCCCTGCTGGTGGCCTGGAAAAGCAGTCAAGGATGGCCCAAAGTCTTGGGACCCTGCACCTGCTCCTGGCTTCAGATCAGTACAGCACCAGCCGTTGCCGCCACTTGGGGAGTGAATGATCGACAGAAAGATCTCCCTCTCTGTCTCTCCTCTCTGTACATCTGCCTTTCCAATAAAATAAATAAATCTTGAAAAACAATACATAGAACTTAGGGGAAGATTAACAAGAGAAAGCATGAATATAAGTATGAATTTTAAAAATACAGAGAGAAAAGGGGAGACAAAACCAAAGATGACTTCTCTTCACTTCTGGCTCATTTACTGTCCAAATGAAACATGCGTTTTTTTCTGGATTACCCACACAGGTGCCAGGGATCCAGGCTCCCCTGCTGGCAGCCTGAAGGGAAGTGAGGCAGCTGGGACTCAAACTGGCACTGGTATGAATGCTGGTGGTGTAAGCCATGGTTTCACCCAGTGCACCACAGCAGCACTCCTATGCTGCACGAGTTCTAACTGCCACACAAACCAAAGGAAATGCTTAGGTACAACCATCCACATCTAAAGCAATCTTCATAGCTGTGCAGATCATAGTAACAAATATCTCAAAACTATCCAACTACAACACAGTAAATGACATCTCTGTGATGAATCACGCTACTTTCAAACATTTGTGAAATGTGGAATAATGTGGGAAAACTCTGCTTGGTTTAATAATTCACATTTCTGTGAACTTACTGCAGACTTCTCATACACACTGACTTCAGCTTTTTTGGACAAAACTGTAGTTATTTTTCAATTCTTTTTATTCCTGAACTTTTACAAAAGATGTATTTATTTTCTGGAAAGGGAGATGTGTGCAGGAGGAGAGACAGAAAGGAAGATGTTTCATTTGATGATTCACTCCCCAAGCAGCTACAATGGCCAGAGTTGCACCAATCCAAACCCAGGGGCCTTGGCCTCCTCTTGGTCACCCACGCAGGTGCAAGATTTGAAGGCTTTGGGCCGCCCTTGACTGCTTTCCCAGGCCACAAGCAGGGAGCTGGATGGGAAGCAGGGCCATAGGATTAGAACCGGCGCCCATATGCAATCCTGGTGGGTTTAAAGTGAGGACATTAACCACTACACCCAAAAATAAATCAACGTTAACAAAAAGCTTCTACCCTTCCCTTCAAAGACATGCAACTAAAGGAATAAACTCAATCACCAAATCATTGCCATTGTTCATACATACCTTAGAGATGTGTCCAGATGTTGCCTGTCTCTGTGTGTATTCTGAAATGCTCTTTAAACACGGCTGGATGGAAGGCAAGTCAAGGAATTTAGCCACTAGACTACCACGGTGGGCCCATGGTTTACTTCTTAAAAAAACTTTTCAGAAATGTGGAGGGGGCTTATCTTCCCCATTTGAGGGTTCATACTGCAAATGTCCCTAAAAACTCCCAGGTCACAAGCAGGGAGTTATATGGGAAGTGAGGCCGTCTGGACGCTGGGATTAGAACCAGCACCCATACTGGATCCTTATATGTGCAGGGGAGTACTTTAGCCACTAGCCTACTGTGCTGGGTCTCAGTTTGGTTTTTGAAGTATGAAACTATTCACTGTCTGCCTTTGTGCTAATCCTCCTGAAATAGTGATCAACACAATGGACTGACTCATTATTTTACCTTGTTTCTTATAAATTATCAAACATCAGTGAAATTCTAGACTCTAATTGGATCCATGAATGCTCACCTTGCAAAGTGTATCCACGTTCACATTATTTTTCATCCCTCGGTCCAATGTACAGTAGTCTTAAATCAACTGGTCTCAGTTACTTTTAGTATCTTTGTAAATGTAAAACCTAAATTAAGTGTCCATGTACTAAGACTCTTGGTTTCTGGGCAGGCATTGGGCCTAACAACTGAGATGCTGCTTAACCTGCATCCCAGATGGAGAGCCTGGTTGAGGTCATGGATCCTCACCATCCTGCTGATGCAGACTCTGGGATCCAGCAGGTGATGGCACAAGGGTGAAATTAGTGTCACTCATGTGGGAGATTGGGACTGAGTCCTTGGCTCCTGGCTTTAGCCTGGCCCAGCCTTGGCCACTGCAGGCATTTGGGCTAACAGAAGGGAGCTCTTGAGTTCTCTCACTAGAGGGCATCTGACTAAGAGGCTCCTGTGCAGACAGCAATGTGAATAGTTACACATACACCAAGTTAGCTTCTCAAGAGCTATTGGAGTCAGGCAGGGGAAACAATGCCTCCCCTTGTTATATGCCTATCATGACACAGGCATGCAAATCAGGGAAAAGGTCCCAACATAAGAAGTCATCAACAAACAGGAGCCTTTCTGCTCCCGAGAACATCATCTCCAGCATACACAGCATTAGAGCCTCTGCCCTCTCAGTGTCCTGACGCTGCACATGCATCATTCACTCTTTGCTCTTGTCATTTAGCTCTAATTTCTTCCTGAACTTTATAATCATGACAGCTCAAAGATTCTCCTTCGCACCTCGAATTCAAAAAGTTGGTATACCTTCCATCATTCCCATCTCCAACTTTCAAGTTTTAATGAACTCCAGGAAGATTCTATCTCTGGAAACAGCACTCCTTCTCATCCCCATGGAAGTTTATTCAAACATTAACACTTTCACCTGTTTTGACCTACTCCAGGACATTTCAGTAGTATTAATTGACTTTCTAGATGAGAGGTTCCCGATTCTTTGAACTTTGCCTTCATTTTCATGTCTGAAATTAGTTTGTTCAGAGTCTCAAATTTGAATTTTAAAATTTGCTTCTGAAAAAATTCTCCCTCCAATGAATCCCAAGGTTTATAAACTTTTCCAGTGGGAAGAAAATCAAGGGTATCAGAAAATAATGAAAGGCTGCATGTCTGGGTTTGTGTATACCCAGACTCAGTTTCCAGTTCTTCTTGCCTGCCTTGCACTGCCAAGTGACTACATATAAAGATGTGAAGGAGGAAAAAATACATAAGCTTGTGTTTCATACATGATGACATATTCATTTGGGAAGCATACCCATGGTATAGTGATGAACTGCTATAACATTTAATACACATACATTAAATCTAAATGTTAATGTTAATGCTCACAATTATATTTACAGTGCTAACAAGGGCCTTCTCATTTTCTAAATGAAAAATAACATGCTTAAGAGACAACAAAATGCCTTTTTTCCTGTATAGCTCTGGCAGATTTTGAAGAAGATTCAATGACCTGATTGAATTCCCAGCATTCTTCCTTCTCATGTTCTGTTTCTATTATCCTTGTCCACTATATAATTGACTTCCTGGGCTTGTACACACATTTCATAAAATATTACAAAACAAATAATTGAATTAGAAAGGCATAGCAAAACCAGAAGAAAAAAAAATCACAACAGGAAACAAGAAGAGATGTCATCACTCACCAAGAAGGGTCTCCATTCTGCATCTGGAGATCTGTAGCTTCAGATGCTTCTGCAGCCCTGAGTCCCAGATTCAAGTCAAGGAATTCACCAGCCAGGGCCTGAAGCTGGTTGCTACCCAGTTTGCACACACCAAGAGCTGTGTGACATCCAAGGCTCCAGAAAGGTATAGTAGAGTAGATTATAGCAGTTAGCCAAGTGGCTGCTCTTGCAGAAGTCTCGGCCAGTGGTACCAGTGTCACATATTGGTGTCCTTTCATGTCTCAGGTACTCCATGTTGGATCCAGTTCCTGGACAGAAGAGCAGAGGAATGCCAATTCCTTCAACCCCGACAACCACAAGGGAGAACAGGAGATAGCTTCTACTTCTTGGCTTCAGACTGTCTCAGCCACAGCCATTGTGGCCAAACGCAGAGTGGAACAAATTTAGACTTCTCTCCTCCTCAGTTGATCTGTCTGTCATATAAAACAAAAGAATGAATAAATAACCACATAAATAGAATGAATAGTTAAAAATACACACCTCACAGATCTTGTAGATAGCAGAATACAGGTACCCAGCAAAAAATCCATGAACTCAGGGAAGCCACCATGGCACCTCAATCTAATCCTTGGTCCCTTCGGTAATGGCATCCATTAGCAGCACTGGTTTGTAACATAGATGCTCCACTTCTGATCCAGCATTCTGCTCTGGCCTGGGAAAGGGATGGAGCATGACCCAAGTCCTTGAGACCCTGCTAGATCAATGTGAAACACCTGGGGGAAACTACTGGCACCCAGCTTCAAATTGGCTTTGATCTGGCCAACACAGCCCTATGTGCAGTGAACCAGCACATGGAAGATCACCCTGTCTCTCCTTCTCTATGCAACATCTGCCTTTCAAGAAAAAAAATGAATGAATGAATTTTTAAACATTTAATGCAGAAAAACAAAGATGTTGCACTAAAGCATAAACTATGAACAATATGAAGAAATGAGATGGGAAATATTACAACTCTATGATACATGCCGGACAATCCCAATTGGCTACCACAATGTTAATGAAGTTCCAGAAGAGAAAGAAAAACAAATAGAAACGAGAACACAACATTTTAGAATTAATGCCTAAAACTGCCACTATAGGAAAAAAGAAAGCAACATGAATCTCAAGACTCAGAAGCCAATTCCCACCTCTATAGTAAATATCTCCATGCTAGATCTCACTTGGAGCTTTTGCTCAAGAACCCTACGCCCTGATCAAATGAAGCAATCACGATCCACGCACATGCCCCAGGCTGACAGGTGCTCAATCTGTCAGCACAGCATCCTCAGAAACACTGGCTTTCTGAATGAATGCTGACGAAATGAAACCCATAACCACTGAAGGCCAACCAGAGCCGACACACAGCTGAAGACACCCTGCTGAACTAGTGTTGATCTAAAAACCTAACCTCTATGGGAGTCTGAGAAATGAGATATATCTGTCTGTTTAAGTTATTTACTTTGATTGAAATGCAGATATACAGAGAGGAGAGACAGAGAGGAATATACAGTGTCCGATGGTCCACTACCCATGTGAGTGCGACGGCCGGAGCTGAGCCAATCTGAAGCCAGGCCAGGAGACAGGAGCTCTTCTGGGTCTCCCACATGAGTGCAGAAAGCAAGGCTTAAGGCTTTCCTCAACTGCTTTCCCAGGTCACAAGCTGGGAGAAACGGGCCCCCCGGAATTAGACCTGGGGACAATATGTGATCCCAGGCATGCAAGGCGAGGATTTTAACCACTAAAATATGATGCTGGGCCCAGCTATTTCTGTCTTTCTGCTAAATACATAATACCATCCTAGTGCTCATGACTGTCTTGCTGTGCATTAGATGAGTTTCTAACACAGGGACACATAACAAAATGTTCAGTTTAGATTGAACTGAAAAGCAATGGCAGTAGTTGGAACACACCATGTAAAACACATGTTAGTTCAAAACAACACATCCTACAGTTACAGCTCTCCATGAAAGTCACTTCAAATCGAATGGTGTATAGGAAGGTTATAAAACAGACACGGCAAGCAAAATCTTCTGAAACAACCACCACGTGTCCATGTTCATATCAGAAAATCTAAATTGCAGAGCAAATAAAACTGCTAGAAGAAAAGATGAACTTTACACAACAAAGACAGGGAAAATTCACCATGAAGAGTAAAACCCTGAATACACATTTTCCTGACAACAGATCCCTTACATACAAGATATAAAACCAAAACCAAAAAATGATATAAAACTGAGGGAAGAGAGGGAGGAATCCACAGATTTATAATTGCAAAGGAGTCTTTACTACTTCTCACCCAACAACCAATAATAAGAATAACAGCCATAAAATGAGCAAAGACACTGAAGAACTCAGCCATTCAACCCAGTAACTGCACCTAATTCAACAACAGCAGAACACACACTCATTTCAAGTTCCAAAGATCCATCCATATACATCGGACACTGTATATTCCTCTCTGTCTCTCCTCTCTGTATATCAGACCACTCCCTGGATCATGAAACCAACTGATCAACTGAATTGACTGAGAATCACACAAAATATCTTCCCTACCTAACTGTAATGAAAGCAGAAGCTTTAGTAACACCAGGAACTGGGCAAACCTCCCAACACTGGGAATTCAGACAACAGAGTCCACTTGTGAATTCAAAACTCAATAAAGCCATAATGCCTAAACACACTTCCACATACCTAAACACATGCTTACCTAAGTATATACATAATTGTATACCTTTAAAATAACATACATGCCTATATTGACAAACACATACATATAGAATTACACATATATCAGGAAAGCTACCTATGCATACATAAGCACACATTCATAAACACAAATACCCCATTCCTTTCCCTGACTTTCTTTCCCCATTCCTATCCATTTCCATTTATATCTCCCATTTCTGTCTCCATCGCTCCCCCATTCCCCATGTCTGCTCTATCCTCAAGCCCTCTCACAAACCCACACCCCTTTCCCAAATCTAAACACAAGAATACACAAATACAGACCTAAATAATCTCATACATGACTACATTCATACACATATAGCTACGTAAATACGTAACTAACATACATACACACACACACACCCGCTATATTCACACACATTCCTGTGCACTAATGCCCCATTGCTTGCCCTGGATCCCTGCCTTCCCACACCCCATTTCCCCTTGTCTCTCCCACCCCACTCCTTCTCTCTCCCTATCCCTGCAACATCTCACACACTCTCATCCTTTCCCCACACCTAAACACAACAAAACACAAAAACATCTATACTCACATAAATTCATACATGACTACATTCCTATACAATTTCATAAATATAGAGCTTTAGAGTACATACATACACATATATACACTTACATACAAACACACACATACGGAAAGACCCTTTTCCTTGACCTGGTTCCCTGCCTTTCCCCAACCTATCTCCCATTGTCTCTCCTTCCCCATCTCCCTCTCTCCAACTTCTTCCTCCCTCTCTCCCTGTTCCCCATGTGCCCTGTAGCCACGCGCCCCTTGCCATGTCAGGCCTCCAGGACAGGCCCACCTCAGGCTCCCGCAGGCCCAGGCACACTAAAGCCTCCAGCCGCTCCCTGGGAGCCTCCCCCGCACAGAGGCACTTCTGGGAGGCCCAAAGTGCGGCCCTGGGCTCAGACCACAGGAAGGAGGCTTGGGGCCGTTCCATCAAGCCAAGCCCCAGAAGCCCTGGGAGCCGCCCTGGCCCCACTGACAGCCTCACCTGCTCTGTGCTGACCTTGGCCACGCTGCTGCTTCTCATATTCAGCCCGCGGTGTCCAGGGTGACTCCTCGTAGCCGGCCCACGTCCACGGCAGTACACCCGGTGCTCATGCCTGTGCTGGCACCAGACACTGTGCTGGGCCCAACATGGCGCTCATCCGGGTCCCACAGCACAGCGCAGCCATCATCCCCTGCGCATGCCCAGGCTGCAGCACCCCACCTCCCTATCCAAGTTTTCCATCTCCTGTCAGGCTGCTTGGCGCTTGACAGCTACAGAGGCAGCAGCACCTGACCCAAAGGCTCAGATGTGTGCTGCTGCCCACAGCAGAGACCCCATGGGGTGCCAGGCCCCTGGCTTTGGTCTGATTTACTGTGAGCCAGGGCAGCCATTTGGGGGAGAGAAGCAAGAGAGGTGGGAACTCACCCCCCTTCCCTCCTTCCCGAGTCCTAATGAAGACACACATCAACATGTACATATATGTATACCCACAGCTGCACACACATATATCTATACCTTTAGAATCACTTGCATAGATACATACACACCTAAGCAATGCCTACATGAATAAACACATGTATAAATACACAGGTAAGCAGATAGATACACACACAGCTGTACAGCTCTAATTTCAAATAAATTCTCTGTATACTCCGTTGTCATCTGTTTATTTCTTCTTATGGGAAAGGTATTATTTTTAAATTTATTTGTATTGGAAACTCAAATACACAGAGACAGATAGGATCTTCTGTCCACTCAGTCACTCCCCAAGATTCCACAATAGCCAGACCTGCAATCGTGTGAAGACAGGAATCAGGAACTCCTTTCAGGTCTCCCGCCAGGTGCAGGGTCCCAGGATTCTGGGTCATCCTGGACTTCTTTCCCAGAGCACAAGCAGGGAGCTGCATGGGAAGCGGGGCTGCCATGGTTAGAACTGGCACCAATGTGGGATCCTGCAATGTGCAAGGCAAGGACTCTAGCCACTAGGCTACAACACTGGGCCCAGAAAGGGATATTTTACAGAGAGATGCAAGAGAGAATGATCTTCCCTATTCTGGTTCACTCTCCAAGTGTCTGCAGTGCCTGGAGCTGATCAGATCTGAATCAGGAACCTGATGCTTCTTCTGGGTCTCTCACACAGGTGCAAGGTTCCAAGGCTTTGAGTTATTCTTGACTGCTTTCCCAGACCGCCAGCAAGGAGTTGGAAGGGAAATTGAGAGGCTGGGACACAAACTAGCACCCACATGGGTTCCAAACATACGCAAGATAAAAACTTTAGCTACTAGGCTACTGCACAGGGTCCAATATATTCTCAGCTAAATCATCATCATCTCAGTGACAACGTACACCAGACCTTGCCTGCTAGGACGCACACGCGATTCCATCTGAGAAAAGCTCTAGGTCGAGACACTACACTGCCTGTACATTGTATGAACTTCTCCAGTTTACACATTCCTATATCACACAAAATCACCTAGCAGGTACAGAAGAGCTAAGAGCTCAAGTCTGGAAGCCATGAGTGCCAGCTCCTTGGCTGCTCTGGGCTCCATTACCTGTCCCCTTAGGGTAGAAAGGGCCCTAGGCTGGGGCAGTTGGCGGCAAAGCAAAACTGAAGCAGAGTCCCAAATCCTAATGCCTCTGACACAGACTGATTCGAGCCACAGTCTTTCTTGCTTAGCAGCCATTCCCTCTGTCTCTGAACTACTGGCAATTATTACTTAAAATAATTCATTAAATTGGGCCCAGTGCCGTGGCCTAGCGGCTTATTTCCTAGCCCTGAAACCACAGAGATCCCACAT